CGGCCGCCCCTCCCTCAAAACAAATGCAGTGGCGCCGCCTCCCCGGCCGGACCACCCGTGTTCATGAGCCCAGGCCCGGGGGCCCCCAGGCCCCCGTGTGTGAGCGGCTCCTCCCCATTCAACAGCTGGCTCAGCGCGCGACGCCGCGCTGTGCCGCGCCCCTCCTAACCCCTCCGCGCCCCTCGGGGCTCCTCCGCGCCCCCGGCCGCCCCTGCGCCGCACCTCATCCAGCCGCTCCTCCTGGTGCGTCTTCTCCTGCCGCGCCCCCGGCGGCGGGTCCCGGTAGAAGTCCAGCAGCGCGCGGCCGTCAAAGCGGTCGATCAGGTTGTCCTTTGTGGGATGCAGGCCGGTGAGCGCCGTCGTGTGCGTGCATGCGAACCCGCAGGGGGGGGATGCAAGGTGAGGGCTTGTTGGCGTGTGCTTTGGGCTTGCAGCGTCCATGGCAGTGGGGGCGCTTGCCCCTTGGTAGCCGCGGGCGTGGCTGAAAGGCTAGGCGGCCCTCGTGCTGTTGTGAGGGGCGTTTGCAGCGGAACAGCAGCTGCTGAGGGCGAAATGCAAGCATCCTCGGCTGCATGAGCGCGACAGCCAAGATTGGGCGCACGGCGCAGGCCTGGTGCATTTTGTGCTGGGCCCGCAGCCCCTGTTTTTCCCCCCACCTGTGCGCCGTTCCAGGGAATGAGGCCGTCGCCGCGCTCGAGCGCCGCGTGCTGCTCTGCATTGCGGTGCAGCTTGCAGGAGCGGCCATCGATCAGCAGCAGCTGCATGGGGTCTTCCACCTGCCGGGGGCAGCCGGGTGGGTGCCGCAAGGGGGGGCAAGGGGCTATGAAGGGGAGGGAGTGGCAGGCAGCCTGCGCAAGGACGCGAGCGCGGCAAAGCCCGAGGGCTGCCCGACGTGCCGACGGCGGCGGGAGCGGGAGCAGGAGACGCAAGCATGGCGATGGGACGCTGGGCCGCGCGTCGCGAGCGGGCGGCGCGGGGCGTTGGGAGGTCTGGGCAGGGGTGGCGCCGCACCACGCCGGCTTCTGCCTTGGCGTCCAGCCGCCGATCTCGCCGCTTGGCGCCCTCCTCCTGCATCAGCTTGAGCTTCTTGGTGTGCGCGCGAGCCTCATGGTAGTAGTTGGCCATGATGTCGTGCGGTCACAGGCCGCCGATCCGGCTGCAGGGTCCCGCTGGCACGCGGCAGCACAGGCGGCAAGTGCTGCTGCTCTGCTGGGGGCGCAGCTCAAGTGCGCCCCACCACGGGCTGATACGTGTCGGCCGGCCTCGACAAGGTACTGCGGTCTGGGCGAACCTATGTTGAAAAGCCTCACTGCAGGCAGACGGGGACGATACCAAAGCACGCAAGCCAACGATAGTGATCTGGCGCTGCGGTTTGTTCAATTTCAGTACACACATCTACACTGCACATTCCACCAGCGTCCTCACTCTGACGGCCCAATCTACCTGGCTGCCCGCCACTTTTGCAGTGCCAGCACGAGGGGGCGCACATGTCAGCAGTGAGGGTGTCCTGCCGCCATCCCCCCAAGCGCAACCAAGGACGGACAGCTGGTGCGCCACCCATCTCAGTTCCCACAATAATTCACTGCCTGGCCATTGCATCCCCTCAAAGTGTTGGAATAACCCCTGGTGTGGGACCTGCAGCCAGCCTAAACTGGGAGTTATGGTATCACCGTTGATTCGCGGCGCTGCTGAGCAGGAAAACAGGTGGGATTTGGGGCGATAGCGTACACATACATGCTTGCAAGTGTGGGCGGTGCTGTAGTGCCTGCCTCTCCGAAAGGCTGCCTGGATTTGGCAAGCACTGAGCTCGTGGACGATTCTTTGACCGCTGATGCGCTTAGCGTCGCGCATAGCGCAGGCGCGCACCTATATGTTGGTTGCACACACCATGAGATGATGTCAACCATAGGCATAATTGGCGCACATTCCTCGGTGCGTGATACTCGTACGCCGCTGCCGAGTTGCGTCAGATGTTTGAGCCTTGGCCTGCCCGCCCCCCTCAATCCGCTCATGTAGCGCACAGCACGTGGCGGTACCCCTGCTGCCCACCTGAGTCAGTAGGCATATGCTCCGCACAGCTCATCTACTTGCTTCACAGCTAGCAGTCCAGTTGCCAAGGCCCTAACTGGGGCCACGTCAGCCAGTCACACAAACTGCCCGCAGCGACAGCATGGCGCGAATATGCCACACAGAGCAACCAGGCTTCGCCACAGATCCCAGTCATGAAATTTCCCATGTACCCCGAATGGCGGGCATGAAGCTGATGTGGACATTCCAAATCGCACATGCTGCAGAGAAAGGGGGCCAGGCGGCCTCTCGCTCCAAGTGACACAGTTGAGCCACCCCAGCCAGCTTCAATCCCTCCGACTGCGCGCAGATGAGCGGGACATCCTCACAGTGATCCAAATGTTCTTTGCCGTGCAAGCGGGCGTGCCCGGTGATGTTGCCCATGACCGAGTGACCATCACCACCTGCTGACTCAGTTATGACCAGATGGATGCGGCGCCTGCTTCAGATCCGCTGCAAAACAAATGTTTGCAAAAGATTGAAACGAGAGCTGCGCCATTGCAATCGTAGCGGCAAGATCTGATTGGCAACACGCAAGACTTTCAGATTGCTTGGTAGAAATAGAAACACAGCAGAACCACTGGAAGTGTTTTTTGGCTGCAGCCGCAGTGTCAGCGCCGCCTGTCTAGCCGCCTGCCCGCCGCTTCACTTGGCGGCGAGTTTTGGACCCCTCTGTCGCTGCGCCCCCGCAAGAGCGGCGGCCGCTGCGCCCTGGTTGCTGCGATGCTGATCAGCATGCTGCTAGACGACTTGGAGGACGGTGCAGTCTCGGCCCTGTACCAGGCAAGGCCTTGCCACACATGAACTCCAAGGTGGCCCTCTGCTTGCTTGGTGCTGCTGTTGGCACTCTCAGCATGTTGTCGCATGCGCCGGCAGCAACGGGCTGCCCAAGTGACATGGAACAGCAAGCAGTGTGCACAGTGCAGACGGTGGGGCGCCGTCTCGAATGCCCGCAGGTGGGCCCTTACGTAATTACAATCAAGCAGCGGCCCACTGAGGGGCGCGTGCTGGACAAAGAGCTTGAGCAGCAGCAGGAGCAGGTGGGCAGCACACTCTTCTGCACGCGCTGTTGCGAGCGTATGTACGTGTGTGTAGATCGGTCTTTCAACCCTGTAGCTGTTTGTCTCCTGTTGACTGTTATAGTCTTTGAGTTGTCCCCCAGAATCGCACTGAGGCCATTGAAGATTTTGGCCCCGGCGTCTCAACTGCCCGTGCTGCACGGCGGCCGGCACCCCCATCAGGCGATGACGTCACTGACGCTGGAGGAGGGCCAGCGCACCAGCGGCTACATCAGCGCCTTCCCGAACGTCGGGCTCGTCGTTTGGCAGGCCGGCTTCGTCCTCGCAGAGTGGCTCATCCGCGCGGCGCCGCTCGGCGCGGGCGCCGCGTGGCGGGCGCTCACCATCCTGGAGCTTGGCTGCGGCGTCGGGCAGCTGGGGGTGCCGCTGGCGTGCACCGGCGCTCGCGTGACGCTGACCGACCTGCCGCACATCACGCCGCTGACTGAAGAGAATGTCGAGCTCAATCGCCACGCGATGCCGACGCCGCCGCGCGTGATGCCGTTCATCTGGGGCACAGACCCTAGCGTGCTTGGCTACGGGGCTAGGAGCAGCTGCGGGAGTGGCGCCTGCAGCGCCAGCAGCTGTGCAGGCGGCAGCGGGAGCAGCTGCAGCGGCAGCGGTGATGGAGGCTGCGGCAGTCATGAGGGCAGGGATGTCCCATCTGCGGCGGCAGTTGAAGAGGAAGGAGCCAGACCGCAGGGCGACTGTGAAGGGGGTTACGGCTCCGCAACCGAACCTGCGCGCAACAGCAGCAGCTGCGGTGACGGAGGCGGGCGCACGGAGGGCACCGGCCCACAAGGAGAGGGGCCCCTGGACATCATTGTGGCAGCAGACGTGAGTCGCGCTGCAAAGCATTCGCGTGCCGAAGTCCTACCGTACCCGGCGCCGAGAACATTTGATGATAAATTATTTGCATCACCTTAATCGCATGGCAATATCACCATTGCACGCACCCACGGCCATCATGCCCCACTTCCGCATGTGTCATCAGGTGCTGTACGAGCCACAGTACTATGGGCAGCTGCTAGACAGCCTTGTGGCGCTCTGCAGGATGGGCGGACAGCGCACAACTGCCAGGGGCTGGGGAGACTGCCCCGCTGCAGCCTCTGCGCCAGCACAAGTCGTCGGCGACAGCAGAGGCAGCGCCGATGGCGTCGAAGAGAAGGTCACGGATCCTGGGCAGAGGCTTTCACGGGGAAGCAGCAGCGGCGGCGGCAGCGGCCAGCCAAGGGCTTTGCCGCTCTGTTTCATATGCTATCGGCGCCGCCAGTACAAAGAGAAGGGCTTTGAGGTGATGGCCCTGGCGCGGGGGTTCTTGGCGGTCGAGGAGGTGCCAGCGTCGCAGCTGCACCCTGACTACCAGGAGGGATACCACCTGATTGAGCTGGTGCACGACGGGCGGCTGACAGGTAGCGCGGCATCTGCGCAGCGCAACGGTGGCGTTGGCCTGGGTGGCTGAGCGTGGGCACGCCTGTGTCTCTCAGATATTCGAACACTCGACCCCACCCCATGGTGGAGGAATGCATGGACCCTTTCTTGAGCGTTGCGCTCTTGAGTATTACACAATGCCGCAGCGCACACCGGCGCAACAGCTGTGCTGTAAAGCAAACTGTGTGTCAAGGGCCGCCTGTGGGTCGAGGGGGAGGTTATGTCCGCCCCGCGTGCAGCCATCGCATTTTAGCATTTGCTGCTGTACAGCCTGAAGGATGGCCTTCGAATGTGATTAGCTGGCCTTAACAGTCACCCAGCATGTTCCAGGGGACATCTGGAGGAATGGCAGACTCAGTATGATACAGGGCATAGCAGGTAGGGAGATGCGAGAAGGCCCGAGGCCGGGTCCATTCTGCTCGTGCACACTTCCAGGCACGATGCTCAAGGCAGGGTGCAAGCCGCCGGGCAGGCGGGCGATGCGAGGAGCACGCGGCATCGTTTGATGGGCTGACGTGTGGCTTGTGCAACGCGATGCGTGAGGTAGCAAATTTGGGTGGACCAAGACAGTAGGGAGCACGCGGAATGTGGACATCGCGCCTCGCATGGATGTTGCCACCTATTGAAGCATTGTTTTGTCGGATTGCCCGCCCGACCACAGGTGTATAGCTGCATGACGGCGCGGCAGGCATTCTGTGATGCTATACACACGTTTGGGGGACAGGGCAGGGTGGTGGTGGTCTGGATCGTGGTGACAGCGGGCAGCTGGCATGTGTTGATGCTCCAATGCATGCATGCTGAGCGCCCAGCACAAGAGAAAGGCAAGGGAATGCGTGCCTTGATGCCGAGAGTCCAGTGCGTACGAGAAAGCTGTTGACAATTGTATCTGAACCAAATTCTAGCATGCAAGCAGTGCCGAGTACTGGGTGGTGGGGGGAGGGGCTGGCTGTCACTGTGGATAAATGTGGCAAGTAGCGGCACGCACAACGCATGAATAAATCATCTTGCCCATATCGAAAACTTTTCACAAGGCTTTTGCTACGCCATGCATGCGTGGGGGGAGTTTGGGTCCATGCGTAAGCCGTTGCCAGCTTGACGCGGTAGGCCAGAATGCCGCGCTGCAGGTCCAGCTGCCGCGTTCGTCAATGGAGTTCCGCGCCACATTTAGATGCGCAGTTTTCGAATCCGTACATCTCGATATTTTCATACGACACACTGCAGGCGAGTTGACCGAACGTTGCTCGCAACCAGCAGGTCGCTTCCGGTTATCTTACCCTTTCGCAAGTGGTAAGGGCCGGTGCCATTGAGCTCCACACAATCAATCACCACAATCATCCTACTTTACAACGACCTCCCTTGCCATCCTGGATCGCGATCGTTGCCGTCGTGGTCTGTGTCAGACAGCTGGAGTCGGTCTGCTCCTCACAGCCTGCAGTATATAATAACGACGACGATGCCGTTTCGCACCGCACTCTCCTCATCTCTGACTGGGCTGTCCGACTTACCAGTCGGACGGCCTGTTTGCGCGGTTCGTGGCCTCCCGCGAGCCAAGCGCGCCACCAAGCGGGTTCAAGCAGTTGCACTAAGCGAACCGTGCGCTGCCAAGGTGCGTGACAGCTGGCGGCAGGCGACGCGCCACGCACCTGCTTGTGTGGCGCCGCTGTGTAACCCCTGCCGAGCGTATCCTGTCCAAGCCTGTGTTTCGTTCATCAAGTGCATGGCTCGAAACCAAAAATCCAATTCACCTCATATATGCTCCCCACAGCCCGGAACTGCACCCTGGACCCCGGCTGCCGCGGCCGCCGCATTGGCGGCTTCGCTACTTTTGACTGCGGCGCCCGCCTCCGCCTCCGTGGCTGAGCTCGCCGCATCGCCCTCGCTGATTGCGGCGCCAGTCGCGCCAGCAGCCGCAGCTGCCGATGTCGCCGATATCACATCGATGCTGTCCGCGCCGGCGCCGGTCGACCCCTCGTCCGCCATGCTGGCCGCCGCCTCGCCGTCGCTGGTTGCCTCACCGCTGTCGAGCGAAGCGACTGCAGACCTCACCGCGGCGGTCACGCAGCAGATGATTACGTCTGCGCTGTCCCCCAGCTCGTCCGCGGTCGACCTGTCGGCGATCACGCCCCCGGCAGTCCCCGAGCAGCACCAGCAGCAGCACGAGCAGCAGGAGCAGCAGCAGGAGCAGCAGCAGGAGCAGCAGCCCCTGGCTTTCGCAGACGCAGAGCAGCAGCCCCTGGCTTTCGCAGACGCGGAGCAGCAGCAGGCTGTTGTGCAGGAAGAGCAGCAGCCTCTGGCTTTTGCAGACACGGAGCAGCAGCCCCTGGCTTTTGCAGACGCGGAGCAGCAGCAGGCCGTCGTGCAGGAGGAGCAGCAGCAGGCGTTTGAGCAGCAGCTCGAGGCCGCCGTGGCCCAGCAGGCAGGCGCTGTTGTTGAGGGCTTCTCGGCGGCGGTCGGGGAGGGCATCCAGGGCGCCAACCTGGTCGAGAACGCCATGCCAGCTGTCAGGTGACCCGCGGTCTGCCGGAAGGGCGGGCTGACACCTCAGCGTCGCGCTGAGCAGCGGTTCACCCAGGGTGCTGAGGCGGGCCAATTAACGTCCCTCGGTCGCCCAAAGCCAACCCGATGCCGTCAGCCCCCTGTCCTCCACGGCAGCAAGGCGGCTTGAACCGCACAAGATTCACCCAATCCATTCCGCTCCTCACCTTGTGCGACCTCGCCCCCCTACCCTTCCCCGCAGCGGCACGCTGCCCCAGTCCTGGCTGTCCACCTCGCCGCTCTGCCAGCTCTTCCAGGCATACTGCACCTCCCTTGCCGAGGCGCCGCTGCCCACCAAGATGGCCACCGGCGCCGTCGGCACCTTCCTGGGCGACCTCTTTGCGCAGTACGCTTCCCACTTCGCCGCCCGCCAGGCCGCCGGCACGGCGCGCGGCCGGCAGTCCGCCAGCGGCGGCGGCGGCGGCGCTGCGGGCGCCGAGGCGGGGTCGGCCGAGTTTGAGTACGACGCGGCGCGCTGCGCGCGGCTGGTGGCGTTCAGCGCCGCCCTGGGGACGCCCATCGCACACTACTGGTGGGGCCCCCGGCAGTCGCTAGGAATGGGCCCTGCGGCGATCGGTATTGCTCCCGGCGCTGGGCGCTCAACACACCGTCATGCAGCCTCTCGCGACTTTCATAACTGTGCGGTCCCCTCTCACTGACACTCCCGCAAGGGCTGCCCCCGCCCCCCC